GCCACATACCTCTCTCCTCCCTGGCAGACAGACAACAGTGGCAGACGCCACCGAGATCAACACGTCAGCTCACAGAACAGATCATTTCCCGCCAACTCGGCTCATTTATCGGGGAGCCAGGGAAGAGGAAGGGGAGGGGAGGGGGGATGCTTCCGTTATAATGAATGATGGTGGCACCAGCACAACCACCACCAGTACCGTAATCCCTACCAACATTATTGTAACAACCAACTACTCTCACAACTGCTTCTACCACAACCACCACCATCACCCCACACACCACTACCACCACCATCCCCACCACACCACTACCACCACCACTACCGCATCACACCACTACCACCATCCCCACCACTACCACCACACCACCACCATCACAACTACTTCTACCACAATCACCACCACCACACCACTACCACCATCATCACACCACATCACACCACTACCACCATCATCACACCACATCACACCACTACCACCACCATCCCCACCACTACCACCCCACCACCATCACAACTACCACACCACTACCACCATCCCCACCACACCACCACCATCCCCACCACTACCACAACCATCCCCACCACTACCATCATCCCCACCACCACTACCACCATCCCCACCCCACCACAGATACAACGAGCAGGCAACTGCCCCGCCCTTTTCCAAAGCCTTGTTTTCCACCTTACCACCATTAAAGACACGCCATTCATTTCTTTCTTCTACTTCTTCTAAAATCTTATTCATTACGTTGCTACTTACACTATGTCCTCCCCCCCCCAATCTCTTCTAGTCTTCTTTCTCTCAATCTGTTCAATAAAATCGAAACCAATCGCAAAGTCTTTCATACTTGTTATTAATATCTTACAACATAGACATAATTTACATAATCTAAGAGGTGGGCAACTTCAATATCCCAATCAGAATTTCAGAAAAAAAAAATGGAAAAAAAAAAATGCCGAGGCACATTGTCTGATAAGACACAAGTGGCATCACTCTCACTACCACCACCACCATCATCATCATCAACATCACATCACTACCACCATCACCATCACTACCACTATCTTCACATAACATAAAACGCCAACCGCCGATACAGCACGAGCCCATTCGTTCGTTTGTCACTGAAGGCTGCCTGCTATACTACTGAACCCTGACCCAAATATGGCGGTGCCACGCCTAAAGACAACTCTCACCCCCCCCTCATTTCTGTCTGTGTACCAACCACTCCCACTGTCAATTCAATCTATTACAGAAGATTACAAATTTGTAGTACGAGCTATATCGCCATTATAATCGTTCTCTAAAGTCTGTGGCTTCTGTCTAAAGACTGGTGATTGAAGAAACGGGTCGATGGAGAATTCTTGGTTACACGTGAGGCGAGGGTGGGAGGGTGGAGAAGGGAAGGAGAGAGAGAGAGAGAGAGAGAGAGAGAGAG